AAGCTTAAATTCTCAAATATATTGAAGATAGACAAATTTTCTCTTTTTTTGTTAATCTATTGGGAATAAATCTCTTGCCAATACCAAAATAAAGGCAAATAAATAAATTCTTGACTTTTGCAACTGTCAAATTTGAGAGATTTCTGTCAATTATTTTTTTTTTGTCCATATATATTGCCTCGTGGATTCGCGAAAAAGAAAACTATACTTCGGGAAACTGGGGAATGAGTGTATATAAAGCACACAATGTCGGAGTAGATGTGATGTTTTTAAAACCCTCCACCAAAGCAAGGATCATATATTAAATTCGTTTTCCCGTTTGTAACGCATCGAAAAATGTATTTCCGAACCAGTAATAAAAAATTGCAAGGTTAATATATTAAACTAGCTGACCCGGAATACGTTGTTTTGCCTTATCAATATTGCATCAACATAAGGTTGGTAAAAACATTTGCCACTAAGTTTTTGCCAATAAAAAGTATTAACTGGTACCCCAAGCACATAACAGTTTATATTTTGTTAATGTTTTTTCAATAGAAGAACATGTTCTGTTATTGCTCCAACTTTTTACGTTATATTATTTGTCCCCTTTTGAAGGATTCTTAATTGCAATATCATTTTGTTCATGTCCAACTGCCCTTTTGATTTATATATTGAAATCAGTATATAACTCGAAAAAATTTATATTTGGCATAGAAATTTAGTGGTTTCCGCTCAGTTATAGGTATATTTAAATTTTAAACAAATTGTTAATTAATTTTCAGATTGCCATTATAGATTTATATAGGTTTGCTATATATAGTGTTTAGCAGTTAAGGGGAAAAAGTTTGGCCAATGTTGACGCCGAATACCTTCTTTTAATTGTAAATGCCAGTTTTACTCTTAACTCTAAATCGTGAATCGGATTTTATATCCTCACATTGTTTAACTACTTGATTTCAATTTAAAACTTGAATAAGTTGTTGTTTAAGGTTACATAGGTCCACATCCAATCTTCAAGTTTGAGGCAAAAAAAGAAACATTGTCGAAAGAAATACACGGGGTACGAGAATACTAAAAATGATGTCATTACCATTATTTTCGTCGATGTTAATTTTCGCATTATTAGTATTAGAACATACACATATTTTATGAAATTAGAAGTTTTGATCTAACTAACTCAAGAAACCATATGACTTAAAAAACAACAATTTATTTAAACCTTAAAGCTCGATACAAAAATTGGGGCATTGTAAATATTACTTAATACATTTGTTTTGGCGGAATATTACAATTAGATTGCATATTTTCCTGTTCTGGCCACATACGATTTATAAGTCCTTTGAATCGTCAAAATCGGTGTAGACGTTCTTGAGTTATAAACGATGTAACTAACACAACGTTCGACTATACAAATTTCCCGACTTTTTGAGGTTTTTCTCAACATTTTCTTCGTAAAAACCTTCCCAATGCAATTACAAACAGCCGATGGAAAATGTGAGTGAAATCGGTACAGTCAATACACCATACAAATATTTTTCTCATCTTTAAAAATACATTTGAGGAATCATAAAGGCACATATAAGTTAGACACAAACAGCATGTAATGCGGAATTGCATCCATGTAGGATTCGAATTCAAATGTATTATTCACGAATATAAGAAAATGTTCAATAATACCTTCGTATTTTTTGACGTATTTGTAATCGTATGTAGTGAATTACTAACATCATTGAATATATTGATAGACGTTTTCGTATGTCTATGTGTTGGCAATTTTCTCAAAAATATTCCTGCTGTTGTTTCCTACTAAGGACACGATCAAGTTTCGGCCAGTTGCCCAGATAACATATGGGATATGCGTTGCACTTATAAGTTCAAAACAATTTGTTCCATTATTGTGCATGCTTATCCGATTTTAAGTACTTGGAAAGTAGTAACACAATATCCATTTAATTGTCTTTAATTCGGTATTCCACCTTGGGTTAAGAAACTTCCCTCATAATTGCCGGTATAGTTTTTGGTATAGGCTCCACATAATGGAACCGCTTTATCTTTACCATGTCTTACTGTGTTTTATTTCATACATTTTTCACAACCTACATACATACCATGCAAATTGCTTAACATAACTTATATTTATACCCTTCACCACACTGTGGTACAGGGTATTATGTCTTTGTGCATATGCTTGTAACAGGCAAAAGGAAACGAGATAGACACATGGTTCCTTTTGAGAATATGCATAGAATCACTTTCTAAGTCCGTCCGTCCGTCCGTCCGTCTGTCCATGTATTTTTGTGAGCAAAGTACAGGTCGCATTTATGATCCGAATTGGATGAAATTTGGCACAGCTCATTTGTTTGGCCCAAGGACGAACCCTATTGAAATTGGGAAAAATCGGTTCAGATTTAGATATAGCTCCCATATATATATTTAACCGATTTAATGTAAACGGTCCCTATATATCTTTCGATTTGCACGAAATTTGGTACAGCCTAATCATTTTGGTCTAGAATGATGTCTGCCAAGTTTCGGTCAAGATCGGTCAAGATTTAGATATAGCTCCCATATATAGTTTCGTCCGATTTCATGTAAATGGTGCCCCAAAGTCCCTATATATCTTTCGATTTGCACGAAATTTGGCATTGCGTATTGAATTAAGCCTAGGGTGATGTCTACCAAGTTTTGAGAATATCGGTCCAGATTTAGATATAGCTCCCATATATAGTTTCGCCCGATTTCATGTAAATGGTGCATCAAAGTCCCTATATATCCTTCGATTTACATGAAATTTGGCATAACGTACTGAATTCAGCCTAGAGTGATGTCTGCCAAGTTTCGAGAAAATCGGTCTTAATTTAGATATAGCTCCCATATATAGTATCGTTCGATTTTATGTAAATGGTCCACCAAAATCCCTATATATCTTTCGATTTGCACAAAAATTCGGCATAACGTACTGACTTGAGCCTGCCAAGTTTCGAGAAAATCGGTCCAGATTTAGATATAGCTCCCATATATAGTTTCGTCCGATTTCATGTAAATGGTGCCCCAAAGTCCCTATATATCCTTCGATTTGCCCGAAATTTGGCATAACGTACTGAATTGAGCCTAGAGCATAACGCACTGAATTGAGCCTAGAGTGATGTCTGTAAAGTTTCGAGAAAATCGGTCTAGATTTAGATATAGCTCCCTTTCATTATAGATTGATTTTAAGTAATTGACGCACCAAGGAACCAATAGGAAAAAAACGTTCTGAAATTAGTATAACCTAACCTGTGACAAATTTGTTTGAAATTGCTTAATATTTGGATAAAGCTTTCATAGATATTTTCGCCCGATTTCAAGTAAATTGGGCATCAAACTGCTCATGTTAGTCAGATTGACATCAAATTTTGCACAACTTACAAAATTGAGCATAGAATTACGTAGTTGCGTTTTCTAGAAGTGCAGATATACCCAACGGATGACCTATTTATATTTGTTTGAAGGCGATTTACATATTTTTGTCCCATTGTAACAAACGAATGACATGTTTATGGATAGATCTAGGTAGATTCACATTTAGATAAATATCACATATTTTATTTCATCCAATTTTATGTTAATAGTCCTGTTTAATATACCCATAGTGGTGAAGGGTATCATATAGTCGGCCCCGTCCGACTTTACTACTTTCCTTACTGGTTTTTTAATTTAAATTGATTTTCATATTTTTCAATTATTGGCTTAAAATACAGATCGTCGTCAAAAATTCGGAATGGAATATTTTTTACAGTCACCATTCCAACACAACACCTTAAAAAGCTGTTTTCATTTAATTTTGCACTAAACTGGTTAAAACGACGATATTAGTGTCTTTATTATATGAAACGTTTTTTATCTATATTTGTCACTTTGCCCATTTTACTGCGTATCAGAACAAAATATAAAAATACCGACGACGTGTTATTCTTTTTACATGTATCACAATAAACTAAACACAATCGTATTCGCGAACATTTGCGGTCATTCTTTGTCATTGGCGAATGAATGTCATAAATGATTTCAACCACCACCGCAACGAACGATCGTTATTTTGTGCTCTCATTCTTTTGTAATGTGTGAGCGAACATTCTTTTGGCGAATGCTCGTTTGGTAAAGAATTTATCGCCATAAATTCATTCTTAAAATGAGCACAAAACGAGAAGAATGTATTTTGAATCATTCGCGAGCGAATTTTTGGGCACCCTTCTAATGGGTCTCTTCTTCGGACACGATCTGGGCTTGGTTCAAATCGGAAATTTCTTTCGCCTAATGTTAAATTTATAAATATTGAAAATTCAGTACACTATGCCAAATTTCGTGCAAATCGAAAGATAAATATGGACTTTGGGGTACCATTTACCTTAAATCGGATGAAAATATATACGGGAGCTATATCTAAATCTGGACTGATTTCAGGAAACTTAAAACACATCATTCTAGACCAAATGCAGTACGCAGTGTCAAATTTCGTGCAAATCGAAGGGAATATAGGGACCGTTTACATTAAATCGGACGAAACTATATATGTGAGCCATATCTAAATCTGAACCGATTTTTCCCAATTTAAATAGGGTTCGTCCTTGGGCCAAATAAGTGACCTGTGCCAAATTTCATCCAATTCGGATCATAAATGCGACCTGTATTTTGTTTACAATTTAACATGGACAGAGACAGACAGACGGACGGCGAACATGTATAAATCGACTCAGAAAGTGATTCTATGAATATTCTCAAAAGGAACCATGTGTCTATTTCGTTTCCTTTTGCCTGTTTCAAACATATGCACAAAGACATAATACCCTGTGCCACAGTGAGGTGAAGGGTATAAAAATGTAAAATTTATAAAATGCTGTCTTTTGTTATCTAAAAACGTAATAAAAAACACCTAAATCCTATCTTTGGCAAGGATAATCTGTTGTAGACAAATTATCTTTTTTCGCCTCTTAAAAATGACAATAACTTAAATGGCTCAACTGTTTTCTTACAGATACTGGACAGTGACGGATATTGATTATCACAATTTACGAACACCGCGTCGTATTTTTTGCATGATATTTACGGTGTGGTTTTTTGCTGTCATTGTATCACTGGCACCACAATTTGGCTGGAAGGATCCCGAGTATATGGAGCGTATTGAACAACAAAAATGCATGGTTTCGCAGGATGTCATTTATCAGGTAAGCGAACATAGACGATAGAGGAGGGATGTAGGGAGATCCAACAACCAAGCAATGTCTGCCATCAATAATTCGTGGCGGTCCCTCCAATGTTTTTTAATGATGAACTATTTATCTAACTTATGCTCGCTCGTTCATGACAATTGTTTAATGGAATCCTTTTTTATGACTGTCATTTCTTTTCAGATTTTTGCTACCTGTTGCTCCTTTTACGTTCCATTATTAATGATTTTAGTTCTGTACTGGAAAATCTATAAAATAGCACGCAAACGTATTCAGCGGCGTACAAAACGTTTGCAATATTCTCAGAGTACAACAAAAGATGTGGTAAGTTCAATGGCCCAGTTAATTTATTTATGACTTTTGCAGTCGAGATATTTGGGACATTTTTAGTCATGGCACGATGTACGATATTGTGAAATTATTTATAAATGAATATTTTAGGCATAAAAAAGGAAAATGTATTATGGCAGATGTTGGGTTTTTTGTTTGTGCTGTGAAAGTGGCACACCTCAATGGGAGTTGGGCGTTAAAGGGGATAAATGTCAAGGGCGTTCCGATCTTTAATGTGTAGCATTCTTTACAGAATGAATACAATAATAGAATTAATACTTAGGTTATAGTTAACAGAACATAAATAACGAACAATGATGGTACATTGTACAGCATACCAAACTATGTACTACGACATACTTAATGTTCGGAAATACACTTACAATAATGCAATGTTAGGGTTAGTACGGAGATGTACAATATTTAGGAAGTAAAGAGATAAACAATATCTTCTATCATAGGAGACCTTTAAAACGAGGGTTACTATAAATATATTTCCTGTCTAATTTTATTGTGGCCGTCGCATTCTCAATGCCAAAAGTCCGAAGATGTTTACAAAATCGGCACAAGTGTATATGAATTTGAATCAACTGCAATGAAAGTTGTCCGTATCGATTGGCGATTGACTATACCAAGGGCTTTGACATTAAATTTATTTTTTTAAACTGTATTCAAATCGACTGTGCTGTGTTCATACAAAGTTTGGGGTTATACCCAAAGATCAACCCATAATTAAACCATACACAATTACGTAGCTCATGAATTGCAACGGCACGAAATATTGGTCCTAGATCCACATTTTAGTATAACGCTCGTCATATATCGACTAGCTGAGTAATTGAATTGTAAATTGTAATTGTATGGGGGCCTCTCCGATAATTTTTTTTCTACAATTTCTTTCCAATAGAAATACCAAATTTAAGATGACTGCTAATTAGCTTAAAACCCTACCCAAACTCACCAAAATATCGCAATTTGGGTGTATTGTTATATGAAGGCTATACCACAACATGGATTTTACATACCAAGCATTCTAAAAGTAGTAACAATGTATGTGCACAATTTCTTAAAAATTGCGAACTTTATCGAGACTTCAACAGAAAGACGTGCTAGGTCGAAATTTTTCTGATTAAAAAACAAAACATATCGACGTCTCCGAACCATAGTATACTAAGTCGACTTAGCATGTTTAAAAGTTCTTTACGTTTTTAGATACTACGGTCCTTAATTTAAATTCTCTGAAATGTTGGTAATCATTGGCCAATCCAAACCAAAGTTATAAGCAAAAATGTACTTAGCATGGTACGTAAGATATAAGAAACGTCCATACTTTGAGAGCTTCTACTGAAAAACTTACTTTTCAGACTTAGCATACTATTCTTCGGAGGCGTCGATATGGACAATATTGCCAATTTTTTTTTATTGAAATAGCTGAAGCCGAGGTTCACCCCTTTATAACTCCGGAGTTATTAAAGTACATAAAAAATATTGAATAGTTTTGGATTTATTTATTTTGTCTTTGAAAACTTTTCATGATAATGACCTCCAAAGTTTATTTACGTCAATGCTTTCTCTACTTTAATGTAAAGCCAGTAAGGAAAGTAGTAAAGTCGGACGGGGCCGACTATCTGATACCTTTCATCACCATGCATCCTATCAGACGGTGCTATATTGAAGGACCACTGGTCATATGTAATTTTAAATTAAATATGAACCGACATAAGTCAATCGACAAATACACCATTCTGCTACCTATGAACTTTTAATTTCCAACGGACATATTAATATTTGTTGGGTATATTAATATTTGTTGGGATGTACCATTTACTTAAATCGAACAAAATATATATGGGAGCTATAGCTAAATCTGAACTAATTTCAACGAAACTATCCACACATTAGGTTATACTAATTTCTGTACGATGTGCAAAATTTCGTGTCTTCGGCCAAACGTGTTTAGTTTGGTGCATCCTAAACCTACAATCGAACGAAAATATGTATGGCTGCAATATATAAACCTGAACAGATTTCAACAAAACTTTGCACACGACAGAAAAATTTCCACACAGAAACGTTGTGCAAAACATTATATATGGGCAATATTGCCACTTTTTTAATATTCCATTTTCAAAAAATTTGGTGCACACATAGAGAAAAATGTTCTGACTCTGAAACCGCTCGCGATCAAATTTTTGGTTGATGCGCACATCTTCGCGAAATATGAGAAAAATAAAAACATAAAGCAGATTACATCAATATATTCATTATATTAATGACATACACATACCTAAAGATTAATTTAAAAATATTTACATAATCTAAACACCTTAATGAATCAAAATCACACAAGTCCGTGTAGCAGTTTGTAAATCACAGCGACAACAAATCCAGACATTGAGGAAAAATATTTGTTTTTGGTTCGAAAAAATAATGTCATAATATTAATTTTTTAAATCCATACAAGAAATTTTAGAAAAAAATGTTGGGGGTATTCTGCTATTTTACCCGAATTTCGCCGAAAAATTGACATATATAAAAATAATCACTTTTTGTGTATAAGTATATGTCTTGCGGATTATATCAAGACCCTTCCGATAAATCTTGGAGTTCTATAAATAGGAATAAATCTTAAAATAAAAAAATATTATGAAATATGCATTTTAAATTGCATCTAAATCGCGTAATTCTCAAAATCATTTGGTGCGCATGCTGTTTCCAGGAAGTACTGAAGTTTATCTCCCAATCCATGCATATTTTGCTAAATTTTATTTGACGGCTAAGATGTGGTACATCTTGAAGCAACCAAAAATTCATAAAACACGAATAATTTTCGAAAACTCCATATTCCATTAACGCGCATTCGATTTCGGAGTGCACCCTAAAAAATACATCGATCTATACCGATTTCAATGTGACCCATTAAGAACCATGGATGTGCCAGCTCACACTATTTTTGAGATAAATTGGGTACATCTCTCTTCTGGCTGAAGTTTTTAAAGTTCTCTTTTCGAAAAAGATCAAAACCCGTATGAGGTCATTTATTGAAGCGGAAATGATACACAGAAAACGCAAATAAATCCGCGATATTTTCAAAAACATTTTTTGCCATATTTCGTGGTTTTGAAAGGCCAGTTCCCGCCGTTCTAGTAGATGGATTTTCACGAAGAAGATTTTATATCATCCGAAACGTAAAAAACCTTATTGATCGCGGGTACCCATATCATTCAGTTGACAGATCTAAAAATTTGGCCCGAAAAATAGGTTTTTTAAAAATTTGATCGCACAAAATTTTCACCATCGAATGAGTATTACTCTGAAGCTGTGCATACTAAATACTCAAAATATATATCAAATTACTCAGATTCGCGACTACAATAATCTTATAATCGATTTTTAGAAATTCATGTTTGCGTATTAAAGCTAGAAGTAAAATTAAAAAAACACTCAAAATCGAGCATCAAAATGTCAGCATCATTTACAGGTAGATGCAGTTAAAATTTTGAAAAATGATACATAAGGGGCGTAGTCCCCATTTTGTTGTTTAGTTTTAGTTTTACTTTGACACAAAGACCTTGAAATGAGTGGCTTAATCATAAATCGATAGAGAACATAAAAAACTGGTTCGCCTCAACCTGTTTTTACACATTTTTATACCCTTCACCACACTGTGATACAGGGTATTATGTCTTTGTGCATATGTTTGTAACAGGCAAAAATAAACGAGATAGACACATGGTTCCTTTTCAGAATATGCATAGAACCACTTTTTATGTCGATTTATGCATGTCCGTCTGTCTGTTGATGTTAAATTGTAAACAAAGTACAGGTCGCATTTTTAATCCGATTTGGCTGAAATTTAGTACAGTTCACTTATTTGGCCCAAGGACAAACCCTATTGAAATTGGGAAAAATCGTTCAGATTTAGATATAGCTCCCATATATATTTTTGTCAGATTTTTGGTAAATGGTGCACCAAAGAACCTGAAAATCTTTCGATTTGCATGAAATTTGGCACAGAGTACTGAATTAGGTACAGAATGATGTGTGCCAAGTTTCGAGAAAATCGGTTCAGATTTAGATATAGCTCCCATATAGAGTTTCGTCCGATTTAAGGTAAATGGTGCACCAAAGTCCCTATATATCTTTCGATTTGTACGAAATTTGGCATAACGTACTAAATTGAGCCTAGAATGATATATGTCAAGTTTGATGTAAATCGGCCCAGATTTAGATATAGCTTCCATATATAGTTTCGTCCGATTTCATGTAAATGGTACATCAAAGGCCCTATATATCTTCCCTTTTGCTCGAAATTTGGCATGACGTATTGAATTGAGCCTAGAGCGATGTCTGCCAAGTTTCGTGAAAATCGGTTGAGATTTAGATATATCTGATATGAAGTAATTGACGCACCAAGAAGCCAATATATGGCTGATAGGAACTAAACGTACCGAAATTAGTATAACCTGTGACAAGTTTCGTTGAAATCGTTTCATATTTAGGTATAGCTTCCATATATATTTTCGACCGATTTTAAGTATGTTTGTCAGATTGACATCAAATTTTGCACAACGAACAAAATTGAGCCTAGAATAACGTAGTTACATTTTCTAGAAGTCGATTTGTTTGAAGTCGATTTTCATACTTTTGTCCCAAACGAATGACATGTTTATGGATAGATCTAGTCCGATTCACATTTAGATAAATATCACATATTTTATTTCATCCAATTTCATGTTAATTAATACTGTTTAATATAACCATAGTGGTGAAGGTATCATATACCTTTACTACTTTACTACTTTCTTAACAGGTTTTACATTAAAGTAGACACAGCTTCCACTAAAATAAAGTTTGGAGGTCAATATCATGAACAGTTTGCAACGACAGATCAATTAACCCAAAACTATTCACTTTTTTTATATACTTAAGTAATTACCGAGTTATAAAAAGGTGAACCTCCGCTTCTGCTATGTTAAACAATTGGCAATCTC